ATTTGTTATATCTCGCAAAGATATTTACAAATGAGTCTTATAATTCTAAAAAAAAATATTTAATAAATAGTTGCGTGCCATTAGCCCACAGCCCTCTCATCTGCTTCTTTTACCTACTCCAATTTAGGTGGTAGAATTTTTGTAGCACGAACTTGTTATCATAAACCATCACAATGCAGCAGAGAATACGCAGTCTTACAAATAATATATAACAATTCTAATAGTATAGAATAAACTGACAGGTCATTAATTCTAAATTATAAGAAATGTTACACAAGTGTACGTACTTTTGTTTATCATGTTCTCGAATTTACATTTCCAAATATAGTCATGTAAGTCTGAGATCAAGTTACCATGTTGAATATATTACCCAATATGTGCTAAACAAAAAAATAATTTAACTTACATGAATTTGATAAATATTTAAATGTTTTTTGGAATGAGTTAATACGCCACAAATATGCTAAGAAATTTGGTAAATAGTTTATTGCTACATAATTCTTTTGGTAAATAGTGTATTGCTACATAATTCTTTTGGTAAGTAGTGTATTGCTACATAATTCTTTTCGCTAGAATCCATCTAGTAAATATATCAGTCTCTTCATTCAGATATTGTTACTACATCTGGCAATTCTGCAATGATTCTATAGACTTGTAAAAAAATAGAAAGAATAATCTGCAATGTTATCGATCCTCACATGACATCTCGTTTTCGATCAGTTTCGCAGATTCGTAAGAAAGCAACCCAATGACATTTCTATGAATGTGGTTTTCTGGCGAGAGTTCATATTAAATTTTCCCCTTTGGTAACTCAACTTCACAAATGTAAACTTCGATTAGCAGCTAGTTCTTTTAATTTTACTGTTGAAATTGTTAAATGTTACCTTAAGATATATTCTAATATTTCCGTCTCTCCTCTTCTTGCCTTGGTAAATCTCTTCTGTCTTCTTGCTTTCCTGTCAATGACTATCTTCAAAACTTTAAATGCAACATCAATCTTCATCTTCTATATCATTGAAACTTGTTCATTCATTGTTCGCTGTTCTCGATAACGATTTCTCATGTGTTTTTTCCTCTCAGCACCCTCTTGCATCTTAGTAGCTTTATTGCCTTACTGACGATGTAATGATGAAATATAATTTGTTCATATTGATAAATATATATTTGCACCGAGCATAACGTTTCAAAAATTTCATGGTTTTGTGTCACGTTTGCATTCTGTACGGAAATACATTGATTTAATTAGATAATATCTATGAACTTCAGTTCACCGTCGTCATAAGTAAAAACAGATGAAATCTGTGGTAGACATACGGGTTTGATCGATGCATTTAGCCTATCGCTATCTCATGTGTCACAGGCGATCGCATATCTCATATTCCATTTCTTTTCTTCTTAAGAAGGAAAGCAATCTATCTCCATTGCATTTAAATTCGTACCGGCCTGACATAGAATACCACACTAATCTTATATACACAAGTATCTTACCCACCAGCGATGCTAGCTGTATATGAATTGGATGTCAACCCAAAGCGAGAAATTTGATTCGTAACACACACACATACACACATACAAACAGACGCCAAAGGATACACACGCGCACAAATTAATATGTTTATGTATGTATGTATGTATGTATGTATGTATGCGTGTATGTATTCAACATTTGTATGTATTCATATGCTCTTTGAATTGTCATTTTAAGGCTTAGCTTTTGATTTTTATATTATCCAACAATCCAAATGTTATATATGCAATATTTAACCATAAACTGTGTTCAATTTTTTTGTAAAAAAATACAAAATGAACATTCATATATACACACATACATATATATATATATATATATATATATATATATATATATATATATATATATATATATATATGTATGTATGTGTGTGTGTGTGTGTGTGTGTGTGTGTGTGCATGTATAATTATTTATTCGAAAATTATAAGATAAATTTGTTATAATTTTCGAATAAGAATTTAATATTCTGTATTGAGCACTCTTTTAAGAATATTATTTTTGGTTATTGGAATTTATTCCGTATATACAATCATATATATATATATATATATATATATATATATATATATATATATATATATATATACTAGCAGCATGTCCCGGCGTTGCCCTCGCTTGATTCAAAAATCATACAGCAATCTCTATCACTTGACTTAAAATATTTCTCCCCTTTCTTGCCTTTGAGGGAGTGGCCTTTGACATGCTGATGGGGAATTGTCTCCAGCTAAACAGGAAGCAAGTGACCAACTGATATTTATGGTCTTGGTAGGAGGAGGATTGTGGGAAGCGTTTAGCCTCCTTATAAAAATCATCCTCCGTACTCTCACGAGACCTATCTTCTCTACCAGCCGACGCGTGACTAGATTATTGTCGTACTGAAGGAGTATTACTTATTTTTTCTTCTCTGTTGGAGCGGGTCGCAAGAGGAGGACTCCTTTCGCAACCTTTACCGGGCAGTTGCTGCTCTCTTCTGGGTTCCCACCCCCTTTTACTGCGTCGAAAGTTTTTTTTCGACATATTGCAAAAGGAGTTTCTACAGAAATTTGCTTTTTTTGTTACCGACATTTTTTTTAAAAGGATGTTCCTAAAGAACAGCTCCTTCACATGTTGACTGTTATTAAAATCAAAGTCGAGGAACGACTGATGTGTCGCGGAGACAGAGTAACGCGTCATGTTTTCTCTGTCTCCCGAAAGGATATTCTGCAATACATCTTCAAAATGGAGACTTGTATCACAAAATTAGAGCTGGGCTCCTTCCCCGAGACAGACTTGCTTGAAACCGAAGGTGAATGGGTGCGTCGACTAATGGAGTACCACCGAGAACTGGGAGATCTGGATGGTTCATTTTCTCACAGTTCCTACTTGAATCCTGTTTCCCATTTTTTTGGGGTTCCGTCAACACCGGGAAGAAGTTCGGCTTCCTTTGTTGTCAAACCTCCGCAAATAAAAATAACGGGATCGACCTTTAGTGGACTTGAGATGGCTGACGACCACATGAGTTTTCGGAATTTTTTGAAGAGATTCGAAAACTGTGTCGTTGGCAAGGCCACTGACACTGAAAGTTTAAACTTTCTGAAATGCTCCCTCTCCGACAAAGCTTTAAGACTGATTAACCATTTCTGTTTCACGGATGCCAACAATAGGCGTGACCTTTCGGTGTTAAAGAGGGAGTATTTGGACATTGATGAGATAATCGACTAAATATTTCAGGACATCCTAGACTATGTCCCTAAAAGGGACACCTGCTATTCCGATCTGGGTGAATTGTTCTCCAGGACTGCCTCTCTCTTGGAGGAGCTGAGGAACTCCTTTTCTTGCGTCTTTTCGGCGGACGATTCTGGTGGAGCTCGCCTAATGGCCAAGATTCTCTTCCAGAAATTTCCCAAAGAATTGAAGTGGGAAATGATAGGACTAACAGGTAAACGAATACCATCATTGTCTGCATTTTGGAACTTACAAGTGAGTCAGTCAAACGATTACGTGTTAACGGAGGCGCGTCTGCTGCTTCTACATTCACCACTGTCCAGGGTTCTTCTAAAAAAAAACCGCACGGAGGGCCAATGTTACTTCTTCCTTTCATGTGGATTCCAAAAACATGACTTCTGCTGGTTATTTCTGTAGCTTCCCCCCAATCTTATTGGTCACTTTCTTCAGTGTCAGTTAATTGTCTTTTGGACACAGGTACTGGGCGGTCGTACTTGTCTGCTGATGCGCTGAGGGATTTGAGACTGTTGGAGTCAATTGTCGGCTTAGATCATTCACCCTACTTGGTGAGTGTGACCGGAAATTCACTTAGGTAGTTCTGGGGGTTGACCTTGGTTCTGGTGAGGCTTTGACTTCCTCTGATTTGATCACTGATGCAATGGACTTGTCTGCACGACTGGCTCACTTGGAGACCCTGTTGGGTGCCTTTAGAGCAGCTAACTATAGTTTGGCTGGCCAATTTGAGGATGAATCAGACCTTGTACTTATCAAGTACATTATTGGACCTTATTCATCGATTGATTACATTGAATTTGGTTCCCTGTCTGATGGGTTGGGCTTTTTCTGTTTCGTCAGGTCTGGTTCCTTTTGGAACTGTGGACTTCTTTTTGTCAGGAGACAAGATCCCTTGTGAAGTGGCTAACCTCTCCTTTAATACTGTAATGGAGGATACCCCCGAAGTGAATTCCTCACATTTGTGCTTCGTTCTTGAACACCAACCAATCTACCTTGACCCCTTCGCGTATTTTTTTTTCCTGACAGTGCAGTACAATGAGGATTGGAACAGATGTTTAGCATGGAGACCCTGGATATACCTGAGGAGGATACCTTCTCTGATTACGATCAAGAACAGATGAGACGTTTGAAGGATACTGTAGATCTCAAGGATGAAAAGTATTACGTGGGGCTCCCCTGGCATTCTGATAAGTCAGCCCGGGTCCCATCCAATCATGCCGTTTCTTTGCGCATCTTGGACTCAAATCTGACTAAAAAGAATATTTATCTTGAATACTTAGAGGTGTTCCGTCAACAAGAACAGGATGGAATAGTTGAAGAGATTTTTGTTCCCCAACACGAATTTGATAAATATGTGTAGATTCTACATCGACCGGTTTTCAGGTCTGACCCAACAGCCACTACCAAAATCAGACCTGTGTTCAATTGCAGTCTGACGACTGGTGGTTGATTGTCCGTGAACGAGACAGCTTACTCTGGGATCAATCTAACTGGAGATATGTTGAAATTATTATTGTCTTTCAGAACTAACAATTACGTTCTCCTAGAAGACATTCGGAAAGCATTCTTGAGGATTCATCTCAAGTTGGAGGCTGACAAAAACCGGTGGTGTTTCTTCTTTAAGGATGGGGATCATCTTTGCTGTTTTCGATATACCACCTTGATATTCGGGTTCACCACAAGCCCTTTTGTACTGGGGTGTATTCTGAAAATACATTCAGCAAAATACCCACTAGACGCTTGCCGCTGGATGATTGACGACAGATTTTATGCGGACAACTTTGTAACATCGGAAGCAGACCCTGTGAAGCTGGCGAAATTGTACTCCCTGGCACGGGAACATTTGCAGGAAGGCGGCTTTGTTATTCAGTCCTGCATCTCCAATGATGAGGCTCTCCGAACCAGGATGAAAGAAGATGGTACACTGAGTGCACATGATGAAGAATGGGAGAAGGTACTCGGTTACCGGTACAACCCTCTTTCAGAAGAAATGCACGTGGGCCACGTCAAGTGCGATCCCAATGCGTCAACAAAGTGGGGAGTGCTTTCTGAGGCGGCCAAAATTTTTGACCCCTTATATCTTTGTCTCCCAGTTACGGTTCGCAGTCGAATACTTATTAGGTCTGTGTGGAAGAATTGTTTGTGTTGGAATGATCCTCTCCCTACTGCCGTTTTGAGTAATTGGACGGAGCTTGCTGGGGACCTGTCTGGACTGAGTGACTTCCATTTTTTCGAAAGGTTCTCGATGCGAGACCGCCTAGATATATGTACCTCTTTTGCCACGCTTCCACGGAGGCATATGATTTGCCGCTTACATTGTGCAAAATCATCGATCGTCTTTGGTATTTGCTAAGGCTAATGTCGCTCCAATGAAAGACAAAACTCTACCTGTTTTGGAGTTAATGGCTGTTTACCTCACTTTCAAGTGCCTACAAACAATTCTGGACAAATGTGAAGGGTTTGTTCCAGGTAACTTATGTGTTGCTACTGATGCTCAAGTAGTGTTGCCTTGGCTCTTGTCTCAATCCATGGCCAGCAAAAACATTTTTGCTAGAAACCGACTCAAGGAAGTCGTGCAATGGAACCTTCAAATATGTGGATTCTGCACATAATCCGGCCGACCTGATCACTAGGCAAATGACGATGAGGAAGTTTCATTCCAACTTTCAATTTTGGTGTTCTGGTCCTTCCTGTTTGTGTGAGTGGATCATCCATTGGCCGACACAGTATTTGCCTTGTATAAGCGAGACGTGCCAGCAGATGACCCGTACTTCACTGAACTGTTTTATGGTTCTTGACCAAGAATACTTCTCCGTCATACCCTTTCACAAGTTCTCTATATTTTCTGGTTTACTGAGAGTTACCTCACTTATGTTTAAGTTCTTAGCCATTTGGCTAGGATGGGAATGGGACTACATCTAAGGTTGACATTTTTCATGATGAGAATTATCAAAGGACATGAATTCCCTTCAGAGGTTGAGTATCTAATGAAGCCAGCAGGAAGATCTGAGCCCGTTAGAGTTCCTGCCTTGAATCTGTTTTTGGACTCGGATGGGTTAAGCAGATCAAGAGGAAGAATCGACCGATCTTCACATCGTACTTATGAAATAAGAACCCTATCCTGATAGCGAAACACCACCATATGACCAGACAATATTTTCGATTGTCATGTAAAGTGTTGTCATCTTGGGACTGGATCTACTTTGACTGAGTTGAGGCGGAGCGGCTACTGGGTCCCTCAAGGTAGACAGGTCGTCAAGAAGGTTCTGGGGTCATATGCCAGATGCAAAGGATATAATTCACAACCAGTACTGCCGAATACTGCGGCTAGCTTACCAACCCATCGAGTCAAATTTGAGGTCCCTTACTAGCATACAAGCGTCGACTTCACCGGCTATTTCTGGGTGAATGATGGTAAGAAGGACAAGAAGTTGTACTTGCTCTTATTCACGTGCTTAAATATCAGGGCAATACATATTGAGGTGGTTCCAGACAATAGTGTGCTATCCATTTTTCCAAGCCCTGGTTCGCTTCACCAACCAAAATGGAGCTCCAGAAGTAATCTTTAGTGACCCATGCTATGACTTTGTTGGGAAGCGGAAGACTTTTTATCCGTCTCTCTGTCTTCCAAGAGTATAAAAGCAAGTATGATTCCTGCGGGTTAAAACTAAAAAAAAAACATCCCTCTGTTTTCACCTTGGTATGGAGGAACATGGAAGCGTTGCATTAAAACGGTGAAGGATTGCCTGTTTAAGATTCTTGGCAGAGGTAAACTGGATATTTTTACCCTTCTGACAGTGGCCTATGATAACCAGAGATCCGTCAACAACCAACCTCTGATCTCTCAGGTGTCTGCTGATAACAATGCTGCGGCTATTACACACAACATGTTCCTTAGGCCCAACAAGAGTCCGGGGCTGTCGTTGCGCGTGAACAGGAATGACATCGCTTCTGCAGTACCAGCCAGGAGAAAAAGGCTCGTGGAGGCAATGAACCCCAGGAACCAATATTTATTAATGTTCCATGAGTCCTGGTACTAGGAATAACTTCTGGAGCTGAGGAGAAGGGTCCCAGGACGAACACGGTTGCGGACGGAGAACCGGCTCTAGAAAGATGATGTGGTCCTGATTAAGAGTCCTCTAAAACCACGACCATTTTGGGTCTTGGGGACAATTACAGATCTCATCCCCAGTGGTGATGGTGTGGTCAGGTCAGCTCGTGTCCGAAAGGGGGACGGTCTTGGAGATGTACACTCTTTGAAACACCTCTACCCGCTGGAACTTTCCCTGACAGCTAACCGTCCTGCTGAGTTACCAACTAGTGGTCCTGTGTCACTCCCTGGGAGTGCTTCGATTGCAGAGAGGGACGAGGATCCATCATGTTCTGCTGCCATCGATGAGGAGCGTGTCTGGTTGTGTCCTGTGTGCAACTCTCCTCAGGGAAATTTTGACAAGATTGGGTGTGATTGTTGTGAAGAATGGTTCCATTTTCGATGTGTTCGCATTGACAAGGAGCCTCCTAAAAGACAGAAGTGGTACTGCCCTGAGTGTGTGCCCCAAAGACGACGCAGGGGTAGACCAAGTTTGCTTCCTGTCAAATTAGCAATCAGTTACCCGAGGCAGGCCATTCAGAAATAAGAACTCGTCTGACAGGGGAGGAACATTGTTGCCCCGTTTTTTTTTTTTTGTGTTTTTTTTTTCTTCGGGTGGATTCAGCCTCGGGGGAATTGTGTCCATCTAAACTGGAAGCAAGTGACCAATTCATGGTCTTAGTAGGAGGAGGATTGTGGGAAGCGTTTAGCCTCCTTATAAAAATCGTCCTCCGTACTCTCACGAGACCTATCTTCTCTACCAGCCGATGCGTGACTAGTTCATTGTCGTGCTTAAGGAGTATTACTTTTTTTCTTCTCTGTTACTAGACCTAGTTGAAGCGGGTCACTAGAGGAGGACTTCTTTCGCAACCCTTACCAGGCAGCTGCTGCTCTCTTTTGATTCCCCCCTTTTACTGCGTCGAAAGTTATTGTTTTTACTTCTTACCTATCTCACACTGCGAATTATTCTAAGCTCTATACTAAACATTAAATCTGTTACGAAAAAAGAACTAAACAAAATGAACACAAAACGATCAGCTTTAAAAAAGGACTCTTAACTGGAAAAACTGAACGAAAAAAGAATGTTAACAACAAATACTTTTTCACACCCAACCCAGTTCTGCGGAACCAGAATCAACGTTGAGTTTAAGCAAGCGAATGAGCGAATTGGAGTAAAGTGCCATGGAGATTTAAATTTTTCCCACTTGTGACGAATGCAGCTATCGATTTTTTTGCATGCTAGCATGCTAGTTAACATTCGTGTCAGTCAGCTGCTGGCTCCCACACTGGCCAATAGAATCTTCCTGCCTATTCGTGGCAGCCAGCTATATGCTCTCACTCTGGCCAGTAGAAAATGGCCGTAAACTACATGAAAACTGCCGTAGAAGCATGAAAAATCGATTATTTCCAATACCGACTTTGCATTTCCCAGCTTTATTTTTTATAAACTTAGTAATATTTAGTTTCTCATGCATGTACAAAGAGACTTACAGTAAAATAAAATTAATATGAATAGATAGAAGATGTAAGACATTGAATGACCCATGTCCTTTTTACTTACATGAGAAAGTATATATTACTGGATTTATATAAAATATATAAAAAATAAAAGTTTACTAAATCAGAGAAATTAATTATCTGTTTGCCGTCATTTTGCATACTGTAAGTGATTCTAATACATTTACTTAAAAATTGTAAGGATATTTTTTTAAATCTTAGTTAAATAAAGCGTATTTTAACCTAAACACCCCCCTAAATCTTTAAGTATACGAATAGAAAAAAATGCCGTAAGAATTTTTGTCGTTAAATTTTTTTTTTTTTTTAAATCCAGAGAACATGCATTTAACGGATGTCAGATTTCATTGAAAAATACATCCTTACCCCTACCAAAACGTAACTAATAACTGATATATCAACTTACCGCGATAATGAAGACCCAAACACCCCTTGTCGAGATGAATAGATTTCTCTGTATCCTTGGAAACGTGAATGATTTTTGCCGTGCCTTTAAAACCCAGTAAATTTTAAAATAAGTTTCTCCAAAATTCGCTTGAGGATGAAATTGAATTTAATTAAATTAAATTCGAAGATTTTAGCTTCCATTTTTGAAACATGGTTAGAACTCTGTAGCGAAAAATATTTAAAATCAATTAATTTGATATATATATATATATATATATATATATATATATATATATATATATATATAAGATAAGATTTTCATGGAAACCAATGGATGTATACGTGGGAATAATGACATGAGGATCTTCACCGCTACCAAAAATGCATAGCAGCTAATAAAGAATGTGTATAAAAATAATGTTTTTTATCTGAAAATTTAATCAATCTAACAGATATATTGCATACCTATTTTATTTCCGTGAACATAAATATGACATGTTATTTCGAGGCATCGCTTATATATTGATTTATGCTTATATTTGATTATGTTATACCACAAACAACACAGGTTATGTATACTCGTAAACATAAAGCTCTCACGCATATATATATATATATATATATATATATATATATATATATATATATATATATATATATATATTATATGGTGCGATGGATAAATTTTAAAATGTTGTTTATGAATTATTATATCTTTTTTGTGATTGTATCGCTAACACTATTAATCACCACACAATATAAAATTATTACATTGGCTTCACATTCGCAACAATTTCTCGTAAGTTGACTAATCATTTGTCAAACTTTAGTGCAATTCGTGCACATATAAACCTATGATGTTATGACAACATCAATAATGTTGATTATGATGAAAAACACTTTCGTTTCCAGGAGGGAATGCTGAAGGCAAAACAGATTCAGCACCAGATTGGGATAAATTTTTTAAGTTTACCACGTCTAATTGCGTCTATGTATTGCTTCGACTTCCCAGAGTCCAGTTTCATATAATTTATTATCCCACTTCTGACATTAGGTTTCACTGGGCTTGAAGTGCAAAGAAGTTCTGTGTGACTGACCTCTGATACGACGAAACAACACCAAAACGACACAAGATGTGGTAAAATTAACTACTTTTTAAAAAGTGCCGCTGGATCCATGTTGCTCCCAGCAATCCCTACTGGGACCGAAAGTGCTTACAATAATCATATTCAACGTTATTTATGTTCTTATAGACAAAATTTAGAAAGATTATCTTCTAAATAAGGCGGAATCTTTACATTAGCTCGAACAATATAAACTCCAAAATACCACTTTGGGTTCGTAAAGTGAACTCGTTTTCCTCGTGTGACCAAAAACAAACTTTGATTTGAATTATTTATTTTGTCGTTTTGGAAAATTTAGAAATGAATTAAGAAAGAAAATAAATTAGCTTAGGAAGTTGAATATTATTGATTATTATGATTGTAAGCATTTTCTGATCCACTAGGAGTTGTAAGACTCAAAAATCTCAATTTCTATGTCATAGAACGGAATCAGTCGACATTAAATAAAGTGTTTTCTTTTCTGCGTGGAAGATCATATATTGAACTGTGTATAAATTATGCTTGTAAAAATTCATTTTGACCATCTTTACATTCAAAAGACATAAAATTGGTTACTGCAGGTTAAGAAACACGGCAGTTTGCAAAACACGGAATTATTAATAACGACTGAAATGAAAATCAAATGTACTCAAATTGATGCAATAAATGAACATTGGAAAGTTAATTCTGATGTTGAACGATAGAGTCGGAATTGAACGATAGAGTCGGAATTGAACGATAGAGTCGGAATTTAGAAAAACCGAATAAAAGTTGTACAAAAAGACATCGTCGGTATTGTTTAATAAATCTTGCATCGAAAAAAAATATTTATATACTTATTAACTAAATAATGCTTAAATATACGTTGGAAATATCCGGCAAGAAACCAACAAAATTAGATAATAAAAATAACAAAAATGTGATATCTATTCATGTTCCCAGATTGTCATGAAGGATTTACTGCATATCATGCATAAATAAAAACACTACTGAAAAATTAATTTTCAAGTGCATTAACAAAGTTTATATCGAAAAATAAATAGTTGTGTAAATTAGTTTTCGTTCATATTCTACAGTGTTTATTCTATGGTGTTTATATCACACAATTTGTTCTTATATATTCGCTGAAATGCCTAGACATCTAATGTATTCTATTATATGATGCATCGAGTTGAACACCCACTATGCTGCCCATGACAAGTTGACGTGTTTTAACGAAGATCGAAGGGACGTCATAGTGGGAACCAGACGAATATACAATGCTTGAATATATGGAGATGTTTGACATCGATCGATGTACGATAGCATGTGTACATGGAATACATAATGAAAGAAACTTGAGCTTAGTGTTTAAAATGAATAGCTGAAAATTTGTTACAGGTCGTCACCATATGTGATAGTTAGAATTGTTTGTATAAACAAGCAACACAGTCTAAATCCACATAGATATTCACTACAGTATTGCCAATTCAACGTTCTGTAGTTTCCATGTGATATTCGACCAGATAACATACGAAGGTGCACATGATAACACCACAACCACCTAAGCGGATGATGGCGCTAATTTGAAACTGGATATTTGTTAAAGGGTTCCATAATTTACAATTACAGGTGTTACGAAATTGATGCCAGTGTTTGGTTGTAATGCAGCCCTCATGTGGACATGTAGTGACTTGTCAATATCGCAGTGATCAAGCTGTGGGTGTTGCTAATGCCGCAGTGTAAGTTGCATATACTAAGTTCACTGGTCGTATTAAATAAATAATTTACTGGTGAATTTTGCATTGTACTGATTGTTGGACATTAATGGCCACCATGGATCATAGGAATGATGATGCTATTCCAACAAGATAATAAATCGCCTCATCGAAACCAAATTAATCAGAATTTGCGTAGGGAGTCTTCTGGTGATATACGAAGAAATATTTGATCCCCATATTCAAATGCCCTGAAGCCAAAAGGACATTTATCGGATGGTAGGATGCAGACAATATCGGGAAGTTATGAAAAGCAATCGAGACGCAATGGCTTAGAAACTTTCTATTCCTTGACATTGCAAGTTGTCGAGCTTAACATTGGTAGCATGGTTTTATTGCAACAATAAAATTTTGTACTACGCACTTATACACACACACAAACTCAGATATATATATATATATATATATATATATATATATATATATATGAAAGAAAGAGGTTGTAGTGGTTCCAACGAGAGAAAAAGTATGTATATTAAAAAGAAGAGAAGAGAGGTGCCGCAAACGTTTTTGGCTGTAATGTGGATTTATTTAGAAAAAAATATTATGCTTTGTTTTGCACGTGTTTCTGGTCTCGTGACCGTCTTCAGGTAAAAGCAGAGATTTCCACATATTAAAAATAATTATTTTTTTCTTTTGTTTTTCAATGTTAAATATTCTCGATATGAGACATTTTTCTGTGTTAGTAATATATATATATATATATATATATATATATATATATATATATATATATATATATATATATATATATATATATATATATATATGTATGTATGTATAATATAGTTTTAAGGTTTTTTCTTTGTATCGGTTAAAGTGCTCAATATCAAGGTTAGAGCCTTTGTAAATATAAAATTAGACATTGACGTCAACGACCAGAGGCGACATTTGCACACACCCAAATGACATATGAAAAACATACATATGTGTGCGTGTATGTGCGTGTTTGCGTATGCGATTATACTCTCTCCTTATTTTTCTGTCCCTTGGACATCTCAATAAGTTTTCTCATTTTGCTATTTCTCCCAAAATCTGTTGAAACGTTCATTTGTTTCCACGTACTTCAAGTATGTTACGTGCTGTTTTCATCTTTCCCTCAAAATATCCTGTGAGTATCAGATTTTCGAAGCACTTCTTTCTTATTAGGTGCTCCAGAAATTACTGCTCTCTCTCTCTCCCTCTCCCTCTCTCTCTCTCTCTCTCTTTCAGATGTTAATTCTAAGTTTACATTTTGTTTCCATTTTCTCTAAGATCTCGTCTTTACTCACATGTTCGGTCCACGGTATCCTCAGCATCTTTCTGTAGTACCATTTCTGTTGATTCGTGTCTTTTCTTCACCTTTGAGGAGATTCTCCAGTATTTACTACAATATAGGAACATAACTATCACGCAACAGTTCAGTACTTTTTGATTTGCTTCAGCCGTATATTTTCTGACTCTCAATACACAGCTTAGATTTTGGAAAGCATATTTGGCCATCCCAATGCGTCTTCAGATCTCAGTGTCGCACTTTCCGTCTTCTGTTAGAATAGTTCCATATATTTACATTTTTGTACCTGTTTGATTTTAATATCCCCAATTTGTAATTTGCGTTTTGAGCTCATGAATGTGCAGATACTGTCATGATGATGATAAGACGAGTAATAAGAAAGGAAAAGATGTTTCATAGTGAAACTTAATGAACATTGAATACATTGTTAGAAGATTTTATTTTTATGATGCATTACATTAATTATACTACATCGATGTTGACTTTGCGTTTGAACAATGCATATAGATTATATTGCAAGAGTTTTTACATTTGTCGTGCTGTGTTGTCTCACTTTATAATTCATCATGGCCGATATCGGAAAAGTTTTACTTGGTTTTATAACACTTTATTATGCGTTACTTTTTACAACAGAGTTTTCAGACATGCATTCATATGGCTGCCATATTTTTATTTGGTTATGTACTGTCGTCTGTTCGTTTGATAAACTACAGAGACAAAGCCGAACATAAAGAGACATTGCTGTTTGGTAGTTGACATTATGTCCCGATAGATTTATGCTTGTTTCTCAGGCGTTATCTACAGACATCTCTCTTGTACAAGTCGTCAACGGATTCCAAAGAGATCTATCGGTGTATTGTGCTTTATCAATATGCAGTTATTTCTTTCCTTCTCGCATACTTTCCAGCTTTCTGAATCTCTCTTGATTTAAATTTCTCTCTCTCTTTCTCACTCACACATTAACTCACTGTCACTCTCTTTATATATATATATATATATATATATATATATATATATATATGTGTGTGTGTGTGTGTGTGTATTTATATATATACATATAGGCACTCTCTCTTTTATATATATATATATATATATATATATATATATATATAGGCTCTCTCTTTTTATATATATATATATATATATATATATATATATATAAAATAATAGATTAAGTGATTAACAAAATGGAGAAAAAAGTGACGTATTTCCTAACGAGAAGATCTTTCTCAGAACAGAAAGCTCGTGAGATAATTGTTCGGATATTTATATCACCCACATGTATCCACATGTACATACATACATATATATATATATATATATATATATATATATATATATATATATATATATATATATACGTGTGTATACACACAAACTAATATGGTCCTGGGTATGACGATAAACTACATCCGCGCCGTGGGTAAGACGATAATTTACGTCAAACAGCTGGTGGTTTTGAGGTGCGTAGGACCATACTCTTAATTGGTGGTGTCCCAGGTCCACCCAGACCGGGGTGGTAGCACCTGTTAGAGTCCCAGCCATGGGTAAATAGGTTTTAATAATAGAAATATTTTTTTGTTTTTATATATATATATATATATATATATATATATATATATATATATATATATATAGTTTTAAGGTGTTTAATTTTTATAGGCTATATTGCTGCATATCAGGGATAGAGCCTTTGAAAATATAAAATTAGTCATTAACCTCAACACCTAGTGGCGACACTCTGTTTCATGCTAAACAATGTTAGTCTGTCTGTGACTGTACGTGTGTGTGTGGGCGTGTTAGTAGATCACATTATATTATCCAAATAAATGTGGAGAGATGCGAAATATTTGAAAACATTTTAGTGACTATGCGTTTCGCCTTTTTGTGCTGGTTTGGGATTTTCATGTCAGAGTGAAAAACAATCCGGTTGCTTATGTATTAAAGCCGATAATATCTTTCTGCTAAGTTTGGCGTCTACTGCTCCGAATAAAAGAAGAAAAATTCCTCTCTGCGATTGTTACTACGCTTACATTTCATGCTAACTATATCAGCACCACCTATAAAACTAGAAGATAAAATGTTTTAAACAAACGAAGTAGCAACAACAGAAGAACTGAGGCAGCAATTTACAATACGTATACTACAAAATGCCCAATGATAGTAATAATCTATGAATGTAAACAAATGAAAATTACTATGTGGCTATTTGCTGAGTTACAATACATTAAATTCAATGGAAGTTCACAATGTATATGATCACAATTTCGATTTCATAAATCTCACCCCAACAATAAATTTATAAAATCGTATATAATTATGATGGTACTATGATATTCAGGAGCCTTGGAAAAAATTCTGAATTTTTGTAGAACTTAATGGAGGCTTCTAGGACTGTATGACTCCTTGCAGAACTTGTCATTTTTTATTTGTATAATATGCTATAGCTATAAACTGTTACATTCTTTACATGTACATAAATACAATCAAATTACAAATGGAAAAACAAAGCTTTTGCAAGTGTGCAATTTATGTTACGTTATAGATGATTTTCGATTTTTTCTTACGTTACAGATGATTTTGAAATTGCTCTTACTTTCAACAGAAAGCAGTTCACGGAAATACCGAAGAGATTAATATCTGAATGAAGATTAATTCATGCAGGGGATTTGTCAAAGCTTGCCCGAGACAAAATCCAGAACAGCAACCATGAAAGAAAACTGAGAAGGGATCGTCAAAATCAAAGAGAGCTTCCCAGTAAAGAAAACTGGTGAGTAGACGGAAGTCGTTCCTAAAGGAAGGATGAAAATTGTTTACAACTTCTCTTCAGTAGCAGCAGAGTGAGAAGCCCAACTGGATGAGGAGGAACCGCAAGTCGATCCAAATACAGTAGAGGCAGAGATAGAGGAGATACCGCAAACTTTGGTCGTCATCAGTGAATATTGGGAGAAATGAAGTCGAAGGGAATAAGAGGAAAAAATCACGAACACATATAAGCGACCTGGCACAATTTAAGGTTGAAGAGGCAAAAAAAATCGTGAAAACCAACGATCAATCCGTCCCGGCTTCGCCAGTCCAGAAACAAGAGGAAATTCCATCACGGAGCCTCCCTTCTTCCCTCTGATAGTATCACTTCGTCCCATTCCCGACACTCCTCTTCTCAAAACACCCACCAACAATACCACTGCAACCGACTATATTTCTACTCCTCCCAACATTCCTCCCTTTCCACAAGCACAACGCCCAGTGACTCCCCAACGCGCACCGCCTCCAACTAGCTCTCATAAAAAAATGGGAATTCGGGACCTTAAAAAAGCTACAAATATATTGTGCGGGGAGGGTCACAGTAATCCTCCATCTTTCATTATATATGGCCTTGAAACTTCCCTATTCCCGGACATTGGTGGCATTGTCCTAGATAGCCGCATGACGAGATGGAAACAGAGAGCGTGGGACAATCTCTCGGCATCCTTAAATCCGTAGATTTCCACCCAGTCTGTGAGTAGGGGAATCAACTTGAAAAATGTCTCACGAAATAGCTAGGTGAAATGTGAGGGGCTTGAGGGATCGCCTGCTTCGTCATCCCCTTTCCTTCGTTGTATATGTAGCTGCGATCAAGAAACGCACATTGCTTGCAAGGTTGTTTGGCATGTGCGGTCTAGCGACTATGTTTTCTATTCAGCATACATGGGGCAGCCAGCCAGATGTGTTTCTTGATAGTTAATCGTACCTTGATCGTGGCTGATATTTCCGTGAACAGTCGTTCGTTTCGTGTCCTTGTGGTTTATGTGCCCGACAAACAATTTGGGGAGCGTGTCTCGTTTGTTCAGCAGTTGGGGCCGTTCCTGGTTTAAACTTCCCGCTTAGTCTTAGTGGGGGATTGGAATAACATCCTAGGCCACTAAATAGACAGTGGCCGAGGGAGGTCATTGACTGACTGTCGCCTGGTTGATCTGATCGGTGAGTTTGGTCTCGTCGATAGATACCGGTTCTAGGCAGGAGATATGGAAATGGACTCGTAAGTGGTCGTCTACCCAGCTACCTGGATAGAATGTTAGTGAGAAGGGCCGATATAGACTTGCTAGATTGTCTCACGTTCCACTGGTTAGGCTCTTCGGACCATAGACTCGTTTGTGCCCGGATAGCATTAGATGCTATGCCTATAATGGCTGGACACTGTTCAATCTGTCATTAATAGAGAGGCTGGATTTCCAACAACAGATAATTAGACTACTGCTGCGGGAACTAATGGGGAAGGTTATTGGGAATGGATGGTTAGAGAGGTTTAATGAAAGGATTTGTTCCTTCACCACTGACTATAGCCAACGACCCGCATTAGATAAGTCTACAGAGGTGATGGAGACAGGTGGGACACAATAAATAGAGGTTTTGCTAGAAAGGATCTGGAGCGCGCGGCTAGCGAGCGCTTCCAGTATCAGGTAGTTAGATATAGGTTAAACAAGTTGTCTAACGAAGCCATGAACATGGGCGCACAATTGCGCAAGGAAGAGATGTGTCAATGACGTTAAAGTATATGCTCCCCACCGTCTAAATGTACTATATATATTAGATTGCCGTGCATTGGTGCCGTGAGTCAAATATACACCGACTAAATATCATCTTCAATCAGATGGTTTTTCAATGAGGTAATGGTCCGGAATATTTTTTCAACCAGAAAACTTTTCGTCCGAACGGAAGGACGTCTTGCCTGGCCATCAACATATTTTAGTTGTGTATCAGTATAAATCTCTATGTGAGATCGACTAGGTGGACAAGATTATCCAGTAGTTAGAGTTTAGGGTTGCCCAGCATGTTCCGGATCATGCTCTGTGTAGGCAGAGAGAATTAAAACACAAATTAGCCTTGTTCGGGGAGTCAGTCGCCAATTCCTTGCCTAACTATCAAAATGGTGTTTTTTTTTTTACTTAATGATTTAAATGAATGTTCATAAATAAACAGCATTTCTTTTAGCCTTCATACTAGCATTAATTGAAAGTTACAGGATTAAAGTTACTATTTCTAGTAGACGAAATACTCTGCTGAATTTTAAAAAAAAAGAATATTATGTATATTATGTTTAAATGACACAGAGATGTATTTCCAAAAGAAAACAATAGATATGATTTTAACCGACATCGCCATGTTTTGATAATGCGTTGACAGCTAGTGTCGTAATGATTGTTGTTCTACGGAGACTTTATCTGAAAAACACAACTTAAGAATTTGAGTCTCTTTTTTATATAATTTTCAATAATCAGTAATCATAAAAATGTTTAAAATTATACTCCGTATTCTAATTTTAGGAATGCTGTCTTTAATTTTATTTTAGCCATCGCTCTTATTTTCGGATAAAACTTTAAATATGGGCATCCTACATAATACTTTATATAAATATAAAAAAAAAATATATTGCAAATCTCTTGCAGAAAAATGATTTGAATTATGCTTTTCAATTTTTGATTAGTAAATACAGTTTTAATTTAACAACAATAACACATAACCGGGTGAAAATAATGCAGAATTTTAAAATATTTATATGTTATAATTTCTTATAATTATAATTTCAAAAATCAAAACAATTCTTGTAAAAATTTATTTTTCATCAAAAAAATTTATATTTTTTTTTTAAAAAAGTGAATAAATCTTATTTATAAAAGAAAACAAAAGATTTTCTAATTGAATAATATCATAGTTTTATTGATTTTTTTTTTTTTACTTTGTGATTCGAGAGTATTTCGGGAAATTTCGGGTCATATATATATATATATATATATATATATATATATATATATATATATATATATATATTGGCAATATTAAATCAACTGTCATATATATATATATATATATATATATATATATATATATATATATATATATATATATATAATTGAATTGAATTGAATTTTTAGTTTCTGTTTTTGAAGCATGATAACACTTATGTAGCGATGGAATCATACTTTAAAAATAATTATATATATCTATCTATATCTATCTATCTATCTATCTATCTATATATATATATATATATATATATATATATAGTCTGGAAAAATTAGTCACCAATATTTTTGGTATGGATATGGACAGCTGATGAATTAGGAACAAAATCCTGATGCTAAGGAAATAAATTATAATCCCATGTACCCTTAAAGCTATCTGTTTCTTTATATATATATATATATATATATAGATAGATAGATAGATAGATAGATAGATAGATAGATAGATAGATAGATATGATTGTCATTGAAATATCTTTGTAAGTTGTTAAGCTTAAATATTTAACAACAAAATAATGGAGCTTCTATGGGACTTTTAGGCTTTTATAATCGTGAAGATTTTTATTCATTCATCAATAACATATTTGTGATTCATCAAAGCATTGAAATGGGAAAACAGTAAAATTTTCACTGGTCCTGTTTGTAAAATTTAATCAGCCCTGTAATTAGATAGCATAGGGGTCACTTGATAAATTGTTTGACTATTAAGCTGAAAGTAAAGAAAAATAACTATAGTTATATTTTATTTCATGTAAATCTCTAGTATTTCAATATGGCCAACGACCGAACATTTCAAATAATGAAAATCCACAGATAATTATTAAACAAATAGAACTTGTCAGGAACATTCACCTTTTTTGTATCAATAAGAAGTTGGATATATCAGTTGATGACTTGTCACTGCCGTTAGCTTCCATTTGTATGTCTTCATTTGAAAATATAAGCATTAACAATATGTCTGCTTATACAATGGAATAATCTCCGGGGAATATGATGTGTTGATTCTATGGTATTAACATGCAGCTCTCATTAGCATTGTTTTCATTCGATGATTTGAATGACATTTTGTTGTATAGAAAACCAGAGATTAAGACATAATATGATAACTGACCATCATTAAATGAACATTAATTAAGCAAATCCTCATTACTGATAATATAAGGCTGCTTCCATTCTGGAGATGTGTTCTTTAGCTTTAGGCCAAATAAGAAAAGGTGGATAAAGCTTGTAATGAAACTAATATTGTTGGTATTCGTGTGTAGGTTAACAAAATCTAGATTCAGAGAACCTGATGCACAATATATTCTGGATATTATTTTTAATTTTGCTAAGGAAGTTTATGATTGACTGAATCGTTTTTACGGCTTATCAGCCATTTGAAGTTTATTTAAAGCCAGACTATATTTTTAGATTGTAAGTATTGGGTGGGGGATAATAATTCTTTATTGAAATACAAATTCTTCTAATTAACTCATAGCTGAGCGAAGATTTGGATTCCTATATTTTCCCTAGCTTATTTGAGCGTGTGAATACGTATAACAAATAGCATATCACTCTTCGTGATCTAATTCCGAACGGTTATCCATTAGATCATCCACAATTTTTAGCTTAAGGCGCCTCGAATTCCTCAGCGGTCACCCATCTATGTATTGACCATGCTCGACGTCAGTTAAATTCCCTGACCATACTAGAGAAGGATCTTTTAATCCTGATATTTTAAGCTGCAATATATTGATTTTCAGACCGATTTCTTTTTCGTTTATAGATTTCAGTTTCTAAAAATAGAGAAAAGGCTGATCATATAATTTTTGTATAGAATAAGTTATCATTTGGAGGGATTAGAGATAAAAGGATAGGAAGTTGTGGAGAATTAAGTTTGCCCACATCCTAATGTGACACGATATATCAGCTACTTATGTGTCATGCGGGATACACGCGTAAGTGATCATGTATCTTTCGATACATGACTGACGAGACAGATTTTTTTCCCGCAGTAGGTTGCCATTACTTTCTTCGGTAAATTGGTTACAGGTCGTTCCAGCTATTTACCCATAGCGGGGGGGGGAGAAGAAAATTATTTATGCCTTTACCAAACAGGTAATTGAATGCAAAAGATTCGACTGGAATTCGAACTCAGCTCTCCAATTTCTCAACAAGTGCCGCTATTCATTACTCTTCCATGCTTTTTCGACACGAATATATTGGCGAAGAAAAATGGAATGTGTACAGAGTGATTTGGAGGAGTTAAGAAATAAAATTCTAGTGTTTTGCCAGAATTCTAAAAGCGCGCGCGCGATACACACATCTATCTATCTATCTATCTTTCTTTCTTTCTATCTATCTATCTATCTATCTATTTATCTATCTCATTCTGTTCATCTATCTATCTATCTATCTATCTATCGATCTATCTCATTCTGTTTATTTATCTATCTATCTAAGTATATATGTATGTACGTATCTATCTATCTCTCTCTCTCTCTCTATATATATATATATATATTATTCTGTTCATCTATCTATCTATCTCATTCTGTTCATCCATTTATCTATCTATCTATCTTATTCTGTTCATCTATCTATCTATCTATCTATCTATCTCATTCTGTTTATCTATCTATCTGTCTATCTATATCTTTATCTATCGCTCTATCTATCTATCTACACGATAAAAAAACATCTATACTAAAATCTCTAAATCTATTTATCGGCACAGACATATACATAGAAACGTTTTTTGACTTAACCCTGTGAACGAGAATTCAAATTGGGCTTCACAGCTGTCAAAAACTTATGCGCGAATGGCATGACCTACGTGAAACAATTGGATGTTTTTGTAGATTGTGAGAGAGCTGCTTGGGTGGCCGGATGCAACGCCAATTTTTTTAGCGCCGATTCCTTTCCTTCACCCTGAATGCGCATATTGATTCCTTGAAAGCGATCGACTGGATAATCTCGTGGTGCCAGTAAGTTCAGCCAGTAAATTCCGTTATCCATTGGTTGTGGTCGATGCAGATGAAGACGAGGTAATCTTCGGAAAACTCTCGAATATACTCCCCCAATACCTCCCGTAGCTTTTCTCGAAGGCACATTTGCTGCAGAATAGGTTATTAGTGAGTCATTGTTCTTTTATATTCGATATTTTGCCAAAGAGAAAAAAATGTATCTGTGAAGAAATTACCCCACTATTTAATGTCAACGAAATACAATGTTGCCGGCTATAGTCTTATTGAAAATGCTCTCCTGGAAACATAATTCACTGTTTAAAAAGTCTCATTTCGTAATTAGCTAATTAGTGACTATACGAAAGGCAACAACTTCTAATTTCCTGAAATGTTCCTTTTGAAAATATATATATACGTAGCTAAAAAAAATCGAAGTAGCTTGTTTAAATAAGTTTGTGTTTATTTTCTGACGACCTAAATTCAGGCTTGTGCATTTATTGTGTTTTAAGCTAACAAGTATGTCGATGACCATTACTAGATATTTAGAAGGATCATTAATTTAATGCATATTGTTATAACTTAAGTTTCTATTAGAGTTACTGAACAATAGATGAGATACTTTTCATTTTTCATATATTTAATATCGACATAAAAACGTGTCTGTCTATGAAACTTCTATAATAAAGCTATTTTTCATTTTTATGTGCCATCTTTTTTCAGGACGTAGGCGATCATTGCTCTCCACCTCCCACTATCCCCTTCAACTTCTAACAACTCCCTTCTTCTGCAACCTCCCACAGACCACGTTCAGCCATCCACTTGCTTACGGCCGCTAGGCATGTCATGTGTTGTTTTCCCTTATTTTTCTTTACCTCTATTCGACCGGTGAGCATCAGATTCTACAGACCCTCCTTCCTCATTATGTGTCCCAGAAACTTCAGTTGAATCTTCCTGATGTTAAGTATAATCCTCAATTATTCGAAAGTAAAAATAAATTGAAAATAAAATGTCGATAAATATGTTATGATAAAGATTTTATTTATGCGATTAAGTCAAAGTAATGATCTACTTCAAATATTGTTCTTTACTCATTTTGGTATATTCTTAAGAAAACAGTATTTTGAATAATAATTATAAGACATAAAAGACTAACATAAAATTAATGGAATATGAATTTCATAAAATTCCTGCGTCAGAATCTAAAACCAATGAATAATGATACGTTCCAACAAGCAGTTTAGAGGACATTATTCAGTTATTTTAAAAGTCACTAATTTCAAAAAATATATAACGAAACTTGTCATTTTATATTCGTAGAAAAAATAACCATGATACTTTCATATTTCATGACACTTCAATGTATTATATGGTATTTTGTTGTGCTAGTCTTGAATTACAAAAATAAAGCACAATCATCTAAACTTTGAATTGAACCTTTAGTACATTTGGTACTGCTTGAAAAAATGAGTGACAGCGATTCCAATGGTTATAAATCGTTGAAGAAAATTTCTTCTGACTTTAGCTGTCGCGAGAAAATTAAAGCAATTCTTCTAAAAGTTTCAACAGTTGCTTGCAGAAAGACATTGTTTTCTTGAAACAATGGACATTAATAAAAATTTTATGCATACATCAGTGCATATGAGGTTGTTGCGTAAATTATTGTGATAGTATGTATGCTTCTAAACTGACACACACGAACTCAAAATATGACTGACAATCATTGAATTTCTAATAATAATATTAATAATAACAATAATAATGATAATAATGATAATAATATATTATAAATTAGAGCTGGTTCTTTGTTCGTCAAGATCTGCCTTCATTAAACAGGTATTCTGATGTCTGTTTTGAATTAAATTATTTTAGAAATGTTCCTTTTTTAAAAAACATTGTAAAAGAAATTCTTTTACATCTGTTTCCAGCCACTTATTTAATTTTATGAAATTTTGAGAAATGGATTTTTGTACTGCTTAATGTTTACATTTGTTTCATGCATAAGTGTTTGGAGAATTTAAATCATCAATAATTTTGTAAAATAGTACACAGCAGTTTCGAAAAATTTTCTCTAAATCATAAAATAAAATATTCAATAAAACTATGATATTATTTAATTAAAAAAAAGTTTTTAATTACTTTAGGAATAAGATATAATAAACACTATTATCTTAAAGAAAAAACCTTGTCCGATCAATAATGAATATTTACAAGAACCGTTTTTAATTTTTATTTTATTTATTATTTTTTATTAAATTCTAATTACAATAATTTTTCCTGTATTTATCTGTACCGATTAGATGATATTTACTAATCCTAAATGTAAATGTTTACTACAATTCAGTGACACTCAGTATTTTAAAAATAAATTTGAATTATTTTTGTGTATATAAGAGTGATAGCTATAATACATTGTAATACCAAAAGCCTATAATATAAATTATATTATGGATAATATTGTTTTCAGTTTTTAAGATTACTACGTAGTTAAAATTATTCAAAAATTTGCTTACGCCATATTCCTCAAATAATTTTTCAAAGATATGTAAACCGAATAAATAATTAGATAAAGGCTTGTTTATCAGTCACATTATCAACCTGTTAACATTGTAAACAAAGAGCTACCGCCATGTTAAAAACGCAGCCTGTTGGTCATATCAAATTTAGTCTATCAACTTGAAATTAAAACTGAAATAAAAGTTTCAAGTAAGATATTTCATTTACGAAAATGCATTTTAAAAAATAGATATCGCGTTTCTGTGGCGGTACTTATTTTAAATCCTTTTTAGAAAATTTAAATATTGGTTAAAAGTATAGTTTTCTTGTGCCAGCGAGTGATCATTAAATTGTGGCGGAGGTTTTAGCGTATTTAGCATTAAAACACATTGATTTTGAAATTGTTGTAAAAATGAAATGACTTTCGAAATTTAATATAACTTTCTAAATTTATATACAAATGAATGGCATTATTTCAGAAACATTTCTTTATTAGAAAATCTTGGAAAATAATTTTTGAAATTTACTAAATCACACTTATTTAATTTTATGAATTTTTTTATAAATTCTTTTTTGTTGCACTTAATGATTCTATTAGATCTAAGGACATATACTTGGAGAATTTAATTCTTTATTTCTTTGTCTAAAATGACAACCAGTTATAGAAAATCTGCACCTAAGCGTAAAATAAAATTATATTAAAAATAAACATAATTTAATGAGAAAAACCTTTAATTAATTTTGTGAATTCGATATATCTTTGACACATTTTGAATTAAGAAAACCCTTTTCTTCGATGAATAATGCATTTCTACAAGAATTGTTTACATTTTTTGAATTTTAAATATAGAAAAATAACAAAGATTTAAATCTTTCAAAATCGGATATTTTATATATCTGTCTATTGTGATATTGTTATTAAATAAAAAGCAGTATTTACTAATCATAAATAAAAAATAAGATCGCTATAATTCAGCGATACACAATAATTTAAAAATAGTTTTGAATTTTTGGGTTATGCATGAGCGTGTCTATTTTTGTAACTATTTACGTTCATCCACGTCATTACTATTAAAATAAGTGCGGCATCTATAGTAAATTTAAAATTTAATAATAATCAAATCCTCAGCAAACGTCTTCATAAAAAGACTATATATCCACAACATCTAAAATTCATTAAAATCATAAAATGTTTTCCTAAATTGTTAAGATTTACCGGGTAGTTAAAAATATTTAAAAAGGGCATCCTCGTTATATTCATCAAGTACTTTTTCCAGATATGTGTCCTTTACTTAAGAATGCCAAACATAAAACTACAACAAATCTGTCAACAACTTATAAAAAAAGATCTTCTGTCATATTTTAGAGTAAAAGTAATATTTGATGAAATCAGATTATTTAAACTTTAAATAAGTTAATGTTCCTCAAATAACAATATCGATTATAAAATTGAAAGAAAATTATTAAAAAAATGATTTTGCATTGACAGATTAAACAATATGACTGATTTTATCGATATCATAAATGCGAAGATATATACATACACACAGACATATATATATATATATATATATATATATATATATATATACACATATGCTTTCATGCATGAAACAGGTTACTCATTGTGTAATGAAGATTTTTTCCACTAAATTATGCTTCATATCCATGTCATCGTTTAATATTAAAGACAAAAAATAATAAATGCGAGAATATAGAGATCACTGTAGTGTACAGAATCTCTGAGTATTGCGGGCACAGGATGACGTATTTTTTTATCACAAGCCACCGTGTTGAAGGCGATATCGTTCAGTTCAGTGAATTATTAATCGGAAATGAACCTGGTCACAGTTGATGGAAGCATTAGTGGCAAATGTTTAAACTCAAGATGTTATTGACACGATCATATACTTAAAGTGTCGAAGCTATATTTCAAACTTCATCTCCATGGATGGAATACAACTCCGTTTGCTCACATCTTTACCTCGCGTCTCCAGAAGGCACATTTTCTACATCTTGAATACACATCTGTTTTGGTGAACGCTGGTTGGACGTGTTAGAAGGATTTTTTTTTTATGTTCGATACGTCTACCGAGTTGACATTGAGCACTGTATAATGCGAAAATTAATGTTTGAAATGTCCTGACACAAAACAATAGTTTCTCAGTTGTACGAAGGGGGATATATGATTAACGAAATGATCGTTGGTCCGAAAATATAATAAACGGGAACATACTTTGTTTACATCAAT